TTGTTGGTAGGAAAAGGAAATTACAAAACTTTTGCTTTTTAATAGCCTAACTGAGGATAAGCAAGGGTTAAAATTTCTATGGCAAATGATTACTATTTGATTTAGCATTAAAGAGAAAAGGTGGCTAAGGAAAAATACAAGTTTTGATAGCCTTCTATACAGTTAACTCCTGATTGTATTAGAAATACATACAAATTCTATTTAGAGTTATTGAAAGAAAAGGTTGTTTTTGTAATGAGAGCACTAGACCTAGATTCTACTTTCAACCTGTATTTCCAACACACAGGAAACACGCTGAATATCTTTTACAGCGTCTAATACCTTGGCTGAAAGTAATGATAACATAGCTCTACTAAACAGATAGAGTCCTATACTTACATTACAGTTGGACAGTAGGATCCATAATTATCTCTGTTACTTTGATGCAACAAGAAACACAACACAATTTTTTGTTTGAATAGTCAGTAAAATCTGTACAACAGAGCTATTAGATGTGACCTTCCAACAGACAGGAAAATTTCACCCTCTTCTATTAAAATGGGAGACTGCTAACTAAGAGATGTTAATTATTTGTTAACAAAGCATATCAGAAATCTTTCTTTGCTTTGATACTGGTTGAGTAAGTTGAACTGATCCTAAAGTACATCGGTAAATAGTCTGTACAGCAGGGAACAGAACTCTGGGAAGCAGAATCTGTCATGCTGCTATCCCTAGGGGAAAACAGAGATTGGCTATAAAATGAATTCCAATGCTAGAATAAAAACATAACAGAAAAGAAAGGATTCATACAAATCGAGAGAAGTACCTGATGGACAAATGATTAACTCTTCTCAAAACAAAATGGAAAAATAAATCAGTTCACGAGCTTCTCCTTTGCCTCCTAAACGGCGGCATTCAAAGCCCTGATGCCCAGTCTTGCTTCTCAGAGTTAGAATAAGGAGACACAGAAGACGGGCTTCAGGGGGACCCTGAAGATTCCTAGATGGCACATAGTTTAAACAAGTGCGGTTAGAAAACCCACAGTGAACAACTGAACTCCCATGTTTCCTGTCTGACCAAAACAGATTGCTTCCATTACAGCTGAAGGTGAAAAAAATGCCAGCTTTCCTCCTTACATGGAATAAGATAATTTGGTGTCTTGTTTTATATTGCCCCGTGATTAGTTTAAAATTTCCTATGGTTTCCAAAGTTTTTATTTTGGATTACGATAATATTGAGAAAATAACCTACTTTTATTGAAGTTTGGGGGTCAAATTCAGGACATGATTTAATCAATGATAACAACTCTTCTTTTCTGGGTGAATTTTAATGGGGGATGACAAGCCAGCCTTTTTTCAGGTAGATGTTTTTTCTCAAGTGAATAGTAGGAAAAGTGGTTTTGAAATTAAATGAAAGGACCAAACCTTCAGCTCTCCTAAGCAGTGGTTCCACCAAATGTGGACAATTTGTTTACAGCATCAATCAAAAGTGAACATTTTTGACATTTATTATTATTATTTTTTCCAGTTCTGGTATAAAGTTAGAGTTGGTGAAAGTTTCTGGGAAGACTTCCCTAGAAAGTTATGTTTTTTTATTCACGAATAGAATCCAGGGCTTTGAAATCAACTTACAATTTTATTACTAGCAAGTTTCATGTGTTAATATATATAAATATATATATGATAACTATATTTCTATAGTTACTAAATAGCTATTAGACGGTAGCACCTTTTCAACAGAATGCCTTAGACCAGATTAGAAATGGCAGCCTAGCTGTGAAAGACCTGTATCTTGTCATCAATCCCCTACACAAACTAGCCCTGCAATTTCGCTTTCCATCAGGTCCATTTTGAAAAATATTTCAGCAGTGCTCACTTGGTTGCTATCTCGTTCCTGAAGTATGGCATAAAGATAAAGGGAAGTTTGAAAATGTCAGGAAACTCGTTTCCTCTGGTACAACGATTATGAATCTGGCAACCAGCGGGCAACTCGGAGAGGAAAAGTTGACAGTCAGATATGGTGCTCTGTGATAAGCATTTGAACACCGGGACGTGTTCACAACTGGTTTATGTTTTGGGTGAGAAAAAGAAGTAAGACTGAGTTTTCCCCTTGGGAGTCTTACTTCATATTTCAGTATAATTTGCCAGTTTTTGTTTTTCATTTCAATAGCCAGTAGACAGCCATTAGGGACACAGGCTCATCAAATGGGCAATAACAACAATAAACTTTATGTCTATTGGCTGTCGTCTACTCCAAAACCAGTGGAATTCTCTGCTGGAAAAAAGAACGTGCAAAAGCACATTCAACAATTATCTTTTAAGGACTTGCCTAGCGAAGAACATGCAGAAGACTTACTGCTTAAGAATAGCATAAAAGACAGGCAGGAAATTAATGGATTGTTTAGAATGTTGCAATATCACAAGCAAAATCTTATGCTCCAGAAAGGGACTTTGTAAAACTTCAACCACTTTGTTTCATGGAGAAAAAAACATTTTCCTTTTGTTGGGACTCTGTGACACATTAGTGGCATGCCAGTACAGTCCTCCTTCACCTAACAGAAACGAACCCTTGAATTCTCTTTAAATAACGTGAAGTATATCTCAGGAAGTGGCCAAATACTTCATTATTTATCATTTTAAAAGGTCCTTTTTAACGTGTATTTTAAATTCTCTATCAAAGGTTAAGTAAAGATGGATAGGCCTTTTTGAACTCACAAAGAATAATCCGTGTGTCTTTCTTGACGCTTCTGTGTAAACCATCATAACAACATACTGCTTCCCAGCATGCTCGCTCCCAGATGAATTATGGTACTTCAAGCCTATCTTCCTTTTACAATGACAATCACACATACATACATGCACACATATATATTCGTATTATACATACATATATACACGCATATATACACACATACACACACACACACAGATATAAATAAATGAATGTCTGGAAAGACATTTATTCGGTGTAATGTAGACAATAATCTATGAAAGATAGAAACTAAATTCTATGACAAAGCAATGATATTGACAAAGTTAAATAGATATTTACCTATACATTCCCTTCCTTTCAGTTTAACATCAATTCACACACACAAAAAACTGCTCTGGCTGGGATGCTGAGTAAGTCATATGAAATGCTGCTCTGGTTCCCTGCTGGTTTACAATCCTAGCTTTTCAATGCAGAGCTGCTATTCAGGCTTCAGTACTTGTCTGAAGAGCTTTGTGTTGTCTTTGGGTGTTTAATACTTATAACAAGGCACTTTCATTAAGTGCAGCCCAATTTTAAACATTCTATCCATTTATTTGAGCCCTCTGTAAATGTCTGAAGGAGACCAGCTGACTGCTCATACTGACTCACCTAGCTAACATTTCTTAATTTTCTTCTGCTTCTCATCAGCTTCAGACTTTGTAAACAGGCTCCCTCTAACAAAACCTCAAAAAGGGTTGATGTTTAGCAAAGCCTACGTTATAAAAACATTTTAAAGATTTATTTTATCCCCTGTTTAAAGTGGAATACATGCTGTCCCTTAAAATACTGTCTCTCTTCAATTTGCTGTGAAAGTGTGAAAGTATTCTATAGTTCATTGTCAATCAGCGTTGCCATTTTTTTTCCTTATGGCCATTTCAGAAGTGTTCTCTAGACTGTTTGAATTTAAAGATCCTCTAATTTATACTGGGAGTCTGAATCTCATAAATTCCAAAACAACTCTTATTTCTAGAATCTCCCATTCAAGGAATCAAAGTTTTCCTCCCCTTTAGTATTTTCCCAAGGAGAGATTGGATGAAGAACGTTTGTTTTTATATCCTTCAGAAAGATATAAATATGAAGAAATTATTCTCAGCATCTTTTGACAACATTTCTGTTATTAAAAATGTATACTCTCCAAAATATGCAATCACAAAAGCTATAGTATGTGTTTGTCTGAAAGACTGACTTATTTAATCTCTGCTCTCTTTTGAATAACTTATTATGTATCTGACCACAATATTACATAATAAGCATTAAATGGATGAATAAGCTTTGGAAGATCTGCTGTTTGGCTATGATATGCACAAATACCAATAAGTATTTGTTTAGAACCAGTGGCTGTACCCATTGCCTTGCCTGGCAAGGAATCAAAGACCTATACCTAAAAGGGTATACACTGGTAAAATATCTCTTCTGAAATCCAGGATTATAGAACTTATATGAACCTGTGGAAAAAAAAAAAGTAACTGAGTATCCTGCAGAACAAACTAATTTCTCTTCAATTATGTTTTTTTTCTCCCTATTTCTGATTGAGCTTGAAGTATCAGAGCATCAGCTTCTCTCAAAGGTATTTATTCTTTGTATTGCTGGCTCTCCTCAGAACATAGCAATACAGGGTTAAAAAGTTAGGAAAAGTAAAGCGCAACATAAACATTTCAGAACTTTTTAAAGTTCATTTCCGGAAATTTCGGGGGGAAAAAGGCACTTGTTTCTTCATTCCTATTCACTCAATTCTTTTTCTCTGCTTGCACTGAATACTTGTAAGTCTGGCATCTCTTATAAACAACTGGAGGCTTTAAAAATGGCTTTGGATAAATAAGACACCAAAAGAACACAATCCACCCCCTCTGGCTCTCGTTTGTACTGGACTTCAGTTACTTCTACTATTAGACAGAAAGAAGAGCATTAAACCGTAAGTACCCAATGTCTTAACAGAGGAAAAAAATCAAAAGTGTACTCTGATACTGAGCTTTTCTTTAGGTGTCAGGGTCAATATTTATTTTTAGTTGTGCTGAGTTGCAAGAGTTGTTATATATCTAGTTGTGCATCTAGTCCAACATTACTGCCCACTTTAGAAAATCTTCCAGAGATGGATGAGTGGGGCATATTGTCAGGAATACTGAGTTTATTGCAACACATTCTAAAAATGGTGATGAATGATATAAAAGTGGGAGGCCAATACATGGCAGATCAACCTCAAACGTTCACAGGTATATGAAGAAAGCAAATATATTAGGCCATTTTCACCTGAATTTCTACCATTCCCTTACCTCATTTTGCAGCCTCTATTTCCACTTCACAAAGCGGTTTCATCTCAAGGAACGCAGATAGCAGTACCACTATTTTCCTTTCCTTCAGTCCTGTAAGTGGAAAGCTAGTTTTATTTATAGCCAGGATTCCCATGGACCCCCTTGGGACTATAAGACTGTACGGTACTAAGGACTAAATGACACATCCTGCGTTTCTATCTTTTCATGGCAAATTTATTGACTTCTTTGTCAACCTAGCTTCAACTGTGAAGTTGTGACCACACAGCCAGTTAATAAAATACAGGCTAATTATAACAACATATTTCTTCCTCCAAATATAAATTACTAGAGCAGCCCTTGCTGGAGTCTTTCTTTTTTTAGTCAGAGTGCCTACCTAGTTTCACCCACAGCTAAAAATGACGTGTGCCTCTGTTTTCCAATTCCTCCTTTGGTATCCACCACATGGGTCACTAATATTCACTCCAGTCATCCCTGTTACCATCTGTCACGGCAGCTGAGAAGAAAGGGAAAAAGGCTCTTCAGCAACAGCTAATTCTGTATCAGCTATCTACCATGAGGTGTACTGAGGAAAAGTACAGTTGGCACCTCATCATGAGAGCGAGCTCTGGAATATCACTTCTCTAACACTCCTGATATTGAAAGATGCGATATGATCCAGCACAGAAAGGTAGGGTAGTTTTCAGCATTCCTTGTAATGTGTATACAAGATATATGCTAAATTATGTTACCTACAAGAAAAAATATATGTAGCTGTAGCCCAAGAACTGACAGCTGATCAAAAACATAAGAATTAACTCATTCATACCTTTCTGGGCCATCTATATTTTTATTGTTGGAAATCAACTTTTTAGAGCATAACTTTTGATGCATTTTCTGCCTCTGATGCATTTGACAATTAATAACTCAATAACAGAGTTCTTCCTCTGGATTGCATAGTGAATAGATGTATGTGAATAACTGACATTTTTGCTAACATAAAAATAAATTTAAAAAAAGACCATATCAACCTGAAATAACGAAACAGGATCTTTGGGGTGAAATAAAAATAAATTTACATTACAAATTCAGGCATTTTTAATAAAAACGGAAGAAATTTAAATGATGGACTACACTGATAAGAGAGCTTAGATGTCATTTACGGAACTGAGGAGGAGAAGGTGACAAAGGGGCTTTATGCTTCTCTACAGACGAATGGCTAGTACACTTGTTTGGTAAAAATGAGACATGGGTTTCCTCTGTGTCTGAGTTATAACACTGATTTAATCCAGGCATTAAGGTACTCAGGGAATACCGTAAACACTGAGATATAAGATATTTTAAGAGCTATACATTCTAATTTGCATGAAGTAGTGATTATTAGTTGGAGCAACAACTGATCCTTTTATGAATCAAAGAACCTGAGAATGACAAACCCAAGGCTATCCTACAGCCCAGAGATTCATTTTTTCATACAAGGTGAGAAACCAATTTCCAAAATCCTGCCCTGTGTCTTACACTGCAGATGTGAGCTCAGGCATTCCATTTCCTATGCAAGTTCCCTACATGTGTATAGGGAGGATGAGGAGTATTAGTATTTATCAGGTCTCCTCAGTTTTGTGGTTGGTACATAAGGCTCCCTGGGAATGTAGCATGTCAAATCAAAACCTCTCACTTTGGAAACTGCATTATAAACCATCTCCCTATTTTCATGCATTTATTATTTTTCTCCCAAAAAGTTAGACTACAAATTTTGGCAAAATTTGTTAACTGATTTATGAATAAAACATGTGACAAAATTCTGCCTAACTTTATTAAAAAATAGAAATGTTTGCTTTAATCCACTCTGCACATTAGAACAGCTTTACTGCCAAGAGACAGCTCCTGCTTAAGGATAATTCAGAAAATCTTTGCAAGCATGATCAATAACCTTCTTACTCCCTGATGCTCATTAAACACCAAAGAGGAAAGCTCTTGCTTCCTCTAAATTTGTCAGAGGTATTTTCTACAAATTTTATGAAAATATTACCTATAAATGCATATATTTTATATGGATTTAATTTTGTTTATATGAACATCTTTTGACCTGTTTAGGAAATCTCTAACGTCTTCTCATGCTTTCTAGTGCAGGATGAATCTTTTCATCAGGTTCTTGCACTTAATATAAATGATATATTTTCTTTACAGTGCTGTGGAGAGAAACCCAAAACCAGAACAAGTACTATGCGTGGTCATTATTAATCACTCATACCTCTCAGAAAGATCTTTCCTCTTGGCCATTCATCAAGATTGGTATCCCTCCTGCTAGAAAAAGACACATCAAAACTGATGTATAGTCACCTGTGGATATGAGTTCCCAGTGCACAGCTATTACCAGAATGGATAACTCTCCTATTCTCTAGTTTTAATATATTTTTTTTTCCTCATGGGCTCCCTCTTTTAAAATATCAAACAATGAAAACCATATCAGCTTAGAGACAGCCCTGTTGTTATCAGACTGAGCAATAACACGCTGCTTTCAAAAGCCACTGGTGCTCTGAGCACAGCTGCTGAGATACAGCGGCCTCAGTGGAGGACTTGGCATGTCAAGAAGAGGCATCACCTCGGCAGGTGCCCTGGGAATGCTGTGCCTGGAACATCAGGGAGGACCATGGCAGTGCCACTTTGTTGCAGTACAGCATATTGTGCAGTGGCAAAAGACTCTGTACACAAAGGTACAGACCTGTGTGCAAAAGACTGTAACTTCTCCTAACTTTCATTCATCTGCCATCTTGTCTAGCTGTAATAAGAACATGATGTATGCAATCAAGAACGTGACCTGTAACGAAGGCTTATGTCCCATCCCAGCGTATTTCTAAACAAAAAATTTGTGAAGCAATTCCTATCATGCTCCCTGCAATTCACAGCAGATTTTTTGACGTATTTCTTCCTCTTCTTGAAGCCATGGTGTTGTCTAGAACTGTCTTTAGAACCTCCAAGGTTATCTTTCTTGCAGACTTTTTTCAGTGTTGCACTACTCTTGTGGGGAACAGAGAAGAATGACAGAAGAGTTTACGTTTGAACAGACCTCCAACTCCCCTTCTTTTTCTTGTTCAGACACTCTATAGAGGATGTCTACCATGACAGCCCCTTAACCATAAGCTCTTGACTGGCTTGCCACCCATTCCAAAGCAAAGCTCTGTGCATCTGAGCCACTCCTTTGCTTAGGCTGCAACCCCACCTCCTTGTCCACCAACGTTTTTTTTCTGAAGCACCTGTACCCATCCATAGCTGCATTCCAGTTGTGTGAGCTATCCCACCGTGTCTCTGTAATATGAATGAGATCATAGCTCTGCAGTTGTGCATGGACTTTTAATACCTCGTTTGTTCCCCATGGTGTATGCATTCATGTACATAGGCATAACGCACCCATAGCCTTGCTGCTTTCACAAGGGAAGTCTGAGACCCTCCCCCATCATATTGGCTCCTGGATGCTTGCTCACTGCTCCCCATTAATTCGTTTTTCTTCAGTTTTTGGAAATCCTCATCTGATATACCCAGCTTAAATTCCCATCATTTATGAAGAACAGCTGATACACAGCAAGAATTCAAACTGTGCATGGCTAAAGAACTGAACAACTTTGTAAACTAGTGTCCTGAAGTAAAACTTTGTAAAAGTATTCTTAAAATATTGTGTGAATTTCAGCTTAGAATAAATCAGTGTAATTGGAACGTGTAGATCAAATTCAGTATAGGATTGCCATGATATAAACTTGACTTCTATTTAAAATTGATCCCAAAATAAAGATATACGGCTAAGGACTACAACTTGCACCAGTCTGGCATTCAACACAAGAACAAAATGACTACAATTTAAATATCAAACCTGTCACTGTGGTCCGCATTATGTTCTTTTTGTGCAGTCTGCCTTAAACTCTGCTAGGAGAGGGAATTTGGAACCTATCCCTGTGCTAAATGACAGAGGTCTAACTTTGTATTTGGCCTTTTTGAAAAACATGAGCCTGACTATACTTGGCACTATAACTAGTGGAAATACTTGTTCAAAAACAATGTAAAACAAAATCATGTACAAACTATAGCTTTGTCTAAGACAACACAGACTGAATAGTGGAGAATTACATCCATTATGTGAGATAATCCATCATGAAACAATTATTTTTGTACTGTGACCTTGGTCTTTGTTCATAAAAAGAAGTTAAGCAGCAGCTTTTATTTTATGCAACTCTTCTTTGTGCATGTGGCATGATGAACAAAGCTCCTTACACTACTAATTCACACTTAAGCTATCATAGAATTATACAGAAATATAAAGCCTCTGGAAGAGGCTTTAGAGACACCTACATAATATGTCAGAATTGGTCAAAATTAATCACATGTTTGAAACACCACTCAAATTAAGCCAGGACGTATTCCAAATGATTCCTATTCCTTTACTTGTGTAAAGAGATCTGCAAACAATCAAGAGATCCAGTCACAGATCTCCTCAACAGTAGAATTTATCCTCAAAGGTTTAGTATTTATAATCCTATTATTTTCTAATCCTATTATTGTAATGTTTGGATGAATTGAATGTATTTCCTCCTTAATCTCTGTGTGATCTCACATATTTCCCGTCATTGATGACTTCTGGCTGACCCTACAAATACTTTGTCCTTCAATACTAAAATAAATTGCTAGAATTGTTAGGGACATTGTATTTCCCATAGATGCACCTTGCTGTTAATGTTTCCTGACAAAGATAATACTTTTAGGACACTATAGAGGTTTTTGATTCTTGACTGATTTCCCTTCAAAATATGTATTTTTGCCTTTTAATTAAACAGTAAGTGGCTGCCATGATGCAATGCTTTTTAAATAATCACATTTGTGATCGTGCATGAAACAGAGAAGTATCTACAGTTATGTATAATATACAGAAAAAAATGCCATGTGACTTTGAATTGCATGGATTTAATGCAATTTAAGGGTTTAAAAGTGACATCATAAATCACAAGTAGGTATGAATTAATTCCTATCTTACTATAAGCCTAAGATAACATCATAGCCTCAATTTTGAAAGTTGATTATTTTTGCATTTCATTTGCAATTACATTTTCATTTACTGTGCCATCCTTTTACCTACTTGCTTGCCCTCTTCTCCTTTTTCTACCATCTCCTGTTTCTACTTTTCTTTTCCATCACGCTTCAGAGTGTCCTACTGGAACGTAGCATATAAAGTTTCCATACGAAGGCATAGATTCTCTGCCAACCAAAACCACCGTATATCAGAGAGGAAATAGGATGATAAGGCCATAAAAAAAGGGAAGGATCAGGCCTCATGACCTCAAAACCCTTGGAATACATAAGCAAAATGTCAGAATAATGAAATATGGTGGACAGGTGACAAATCAAACTTAAATGATGAGATTTGCCTGTACTTGACAGCAGCATGTTTAACTCTACTATCAACATAGTATTAGAGTGTTATTTTCCCTTGTGATGGCTATGTAAACTTTGCTTATGATTTCCTGCAAACAGTTTAGGCTTAAGTTCCTGTCTAACATTTAAATTAATAGCAGAAAACCTTTTTTGTTTTTTCTTTTATCCATCTACCCAGGAGAAAGATATGGACAGTAGCAAGTGAATTATACTGGCAAGATGGATAGATCTGGCATAGGTTTAGCTGGCCAAACTTACTCTTTTAAAATTTCGTTTAACAACAACACAATACATATTTGCTTGCACAGTTCTACAAAATTAAACATTCATTTATAAAATATTTTCTTCTTGGAAAAAAGGCTACTTAAGCAAATGATGAATGCTTTTAGTCAAATGAGTCTTCTCAAATAAACTAGGGTGATTTATAAATATTAAGGCCTGGGTTGCTAACTCCCAGGGAAAAAAAAAAAACCTCAATCATGCTTATTGTACTTTGGTTTGTGGGTGATTGCTTTGCTCTTATTTTAATGGAGGATAACTTCCTCCTTTTCTGCTCATAGTCTACTTACATAATTTACAACAAAAACTGGCTGCCCCTTCATAGATGCCGTCTGTTTTTTCCCTCAGTCCACTGCATTAGTGTCCAGCCCTTAAATTCCAAGAGTTTGTTATGTAAGCTCTCAGTATTAAAATTAAAGTGAAACAAATCAATTATAGGATTTCTTAAGCTTTGCTTCAATGCACTATTGATATTCCAGTTCAATCCCATTTCTACTACTACAGTCTCTAACTAGTTATGAAAAAGTATGAACTACTAACGAAAGTTTCCCATTTCATGAGATGGTCGATCTTGGCTGAAGTTGCAAAACTCGTATCGTACTGGGATATAGAATATATTGCTTTCTTGGGGTAATAGCAATATGAACCCTGGAGCTTCCCAACAGGCAGATACTGGGAGCTCTTAGACTACACTTGATAGCACTATTTACTTATGTCATAGATAATATGCAGTAGAGGAAGATGTGGATTTTCTGAACCGTCAGATGGCACAAACTTAAATTTATGAAACAGCTCCCCACTTCAATGACATAGTATAGCAAATGGTCATTTTTGCCTGCTTTTAACAGAACACAAGGTCTTACATGTTCTCATATAATGGTAGCAAACCATCCTAGGTGAAGGAATTAAATGAGATAGCAGGAGAGTGTGGAACATGATCAGTACAGAAGTGCAGAAGTTCTTTTACAGAAGGAATACATGCAGGTTAAAACTTAAAGGTTTAAGGTTTAGAGATAGTAAGGGAAGGTCACGTAAAGAACAGATTCAGAAGAACAGCAAGAGAAAGAAGGATAGCTTCACTATGGGTGGGAAAGGAAAAAAGCCTGCTGTAAATGCGAAAGGAGAACTTCAGGATAGGGGTCGAGAGACCCCCCAGTGAAAATGATTCAACTTTTAAAATGTCACTGTCCATACGTGAATGTATTTGTCTTCATGGTTTCTCAGTCTTCTCTTTCTCTGCTTTGTGACCAGTATATTTCTTATCCAAAGTTTCCTACATAAAAATGTTCAGAATGATCTTATTACTTAAAAATAAAAGAAAATCATATAAAATAATCTTCAAAGAAAAATAAGCAAAATAATATTCAGTGGTAAGGAGTGTGAGGAAATATCTTCCTATGGGAGTTAAAAGAAATGTTATGTTAACTAATACCCTCAAAAACATATATCTGGGTTTTGCAGACGTCTATGTATAAGGTGGCCACTGCCTTTATCCATAGCACAGTCTCACAGGAACTCTTCTCAAAACAAACTGTGAAACAGCTACAGATATTATCATCTGTTTATTTGCTTATTTATTATTAATTAGCTAATTAATATTGATTATGAAAAAGCTGCAATTTTTTTTTTTCAGAATTACCAGGGTCTCTGTAGAAGAATTGCACGCCATCAGTAGAAAAATCCCCCCAAACTATCTTATAAAACATTTGGATGAAAGGTTAAGTACAAATATGCCACATGTTTGCACTCAAAACACCACAAGATTAAAAGCTGGGCTTCAAAGAGTTCCTTTGAAAACACAGCATGGTGGTTTCGATTTTTCCTTACTCAGGATTGTCCTCTAGCATTCAAATTGTCTTCTAGCACTCCTCATAATGTGTCACATGTGGACCAAACCCTGCTGTACAGTCCCAGTAAGGGGTTGGCTGTATCACACTGCTAAAATCTGCACGCAAGGTATCTCTTTTTACAATTATTAAATACTTGGGTCAGACCAAGCATTTATGCTGATTCACAGGCTAAACTTTCCAATGTGCCTTTATCTGAAATGGGTGCAAGCCTAGGAAATGCAGTCTTCCAGAAAATTGCTTCATTGTAGTGCTTTCCAAAATACACTTAAACTGTAAGATCTTTGAAGCTGTGTCCATTTGTTATAGATAAGCGTAAAGTTGAATGGTGACTTCACATTTGACTAGGGCTTTTAGGTACTGCCAATACATGCATAGCAAATAACACAACCATGTGACATGCTTTCACTGCGCTAATCTCCATCCCAAATACCCTTGTATACAGATAGTGTGGAGATTCAGTCTTGTATTGATCTCCCTCTTCTGTAAGTTTTTCAGTAACAACGCACAGAACTGATTGCTTAGTGAGATTGCTTAGAGATGCAGATTACTGGAGAGATACAAGAATAAATATGCTGTATGAAAAGTACTTTCCAGTTTCAAAGGTAATGTCTATGGCAAGTAGGTATTACTAACACTTTTAAAAAATATTGAAAACAAGCTAGAGAGGAAAAGTAATTTGTCTAAAGGCCACATGAGGAGTAAATTTAAGAGCTGGGATTATAACTCTGGAATTGCTGCTCACTGAGGACCACTCTTCACCTGTATTCCCAGCCAGAGAGTGAGGGGACACACTAAATAGCAAATATCCACTGTTTTTAAAACTGCAGTTCTGTGATTCCATCCCATCTGAGAGCAGTTCAGTTTTTCTTCTTGCTACATGTTTGCCACAAGGATGTCAATGAGCTTGCTGAGCCAGTTGGGAAGGTGGACAGGAACAATACAGAGCAGTAATTAAAAATAAGGACTCTTGAGGGGACACTTCATTGTGAGCTTTTTCCCATAAACCTTCCTTCTTTTTCCCACAATCCAGCACCTGTAAATACTGTTTCACCTTTGCAACACTCCCAGATGTTGCACTCAAAACACCAAGAAGCCAGTGCAATTCTGGACCCTTCCCATCCCTGCCACAAATACACAGTATTAATGACTGATCCAAGTAGCTCTGTTGCTTAACAGCTTGAATATTGTAAGACTCAAAATCTCCCAAACTATGTTAAAAGCCCCAAGTTAAATCAGCAGCAGTGCTTGTTCAATATCAGGATTTGATCTATCTGGAGTCAACAGCTGAACAGAAGACACATCAAAATCTGAGCAACAATGACCTCAGAGTTATGTATATTTACCCTGTGCTGGATTTCCTGGCATGCTGAAGTCAAGGGGGAAAATCCACTCAACTAGTCCAACACTGAGGTTAACACTCCTGTTGAATTACTGGCTTTAAAAACCATTTAAATCTGTGACTCTAAGCTGGAAAACATTTCACAACTTTCCTGTCTTAACAGTAAGGAATGTTAATGAGAACCCTAGGTAAGAACTGCAAGTAAACTAGAAGGTGTTTTCCAGCAGCATGAAATTCTTGTTCCCGTATTTACAGGGGCACATGGAAGCAGCTGCTGCATATGGGAAGGATATGTTTGAGAAAAGATTAGGAACAAGCAACTGAAATAAGGGGGAACTCACTTGTCAGATGAAGGACTTCATAACTATAGTCCTGCTCTCCTGCATCATGGTAGCCCCTCAGCTAGCTAGGGTAGACAATACATGGGGGGAAAGAAAGACTTCTGGTGATTTGCCCGTTGTAAACCTGTTATCACTGGGATCCTGATATATACCAAGTCCTTTGCAGGGAAAGCTCCTCTAGGCTGGAGTTGGAGCCCATCTGTTCTCTCTTCTGGTTTATTTTTAAACCTAGCTTTGAAAACCAAACCTACTGTAAAAAAGCTCATGTATTACTCCAAAGATGAGAGAGGGCACAGAAGTATGGCAATATTTGCTGGAGGAGGGAAGGTCTCTTTGTGCTTTCAGGAAGTTGGAGTGGTGACTTGCACTGAGATATGTGCCTGCAGTAGGATGACAAAAAAAGGAAAGTTCTTGTTTTCTTCTTCCTACAGTCAGAAATATGATGAGGAACTGCTTTTCCTTCCCCCTCTCTCTCCCATATCCCCACAATAGATTCACAACTCAGCATTTCATGATTTAGGCCACTGTGTGGCCTTCAGGAAACTGAACTGCATATAGCTCAGTATGGAGCCACTTATTATCTAGTACCTGCCTACCTTCTGCTCAGTGTGTGTGCCTCTAGTAGGGCAGTTGGTGTGAGTCAAAGCTCTGACAGATATACTGCTGTGTTTCTGGTCTCAAAGTCCAATGAAAACGTAAAAGAAAGGTGGGCTTTTTTATTCCCCAATCTGGCTCTTAATAAGAGAGAAAAGCAGACTCGTGAATGATTGATTAGATTCGCAAATAGATCACCTCCTTTCCCACCTTAAGAGTTAAACAAATGGAAATAGGACAGCAGTATCCACAATAGGCTGGATGTCAATACGTGTGCTCAAGAACAAAGTGATTTCTTTGTTGGGGGGGAAAGGAAATCTACTGCTTATGAGTGTAATATCTTTTCTTGTCCCCTTCAGTTACCTTAGAGCCCCACACAACAACAGCAGCTCTACCCCACGGACTGTTGCTCACAGAAGCTTTCTGGGCTCTGGAGTCTCCATCTGTCCGGGCAGCCAAAAACCTCCTCCAAGCCTTGTGAAGGCTAGTGAGCTTCCCTTGTGTACCGGCAACACCCTGGCTACCAATGTAGCCCCTCCCTTACAAAAGCAAAACTGTTTCTGCTCAGAAAGCATGTGTAAAGCATTCCTCTAATGCCTTCACTAGGTGGGCTCTCACTGGGTGACCAGAACAACTGTTGGCTGAGGTCAGTCAGCCAGGAAAACAATAATCTCTCAAGCCTCAAGAGTGCTGTAAGTCTAACATCAGAATTAAGGCTGCTATACTGTACTCAGGACATTACATCTCTTGCAGCTGACCTCAATCAGCAGCCATGCAGACCACCCGGGGGAGAGGGAGTGGAAGAGGTACAAAAGGTTTTATTAAACCCAAAAGAACAAAAAGAAGAGAGCCTTGAACCCTCCAACAAAAGGAGGAAAGTTCTCATATGGCAAGAAGCCAGGTGATATTTTTTTAAACAGCTTTTTCCCCTCCTTTGTACTTCAGCCGCTAAAACCTGTCTCATATCTGCAGCTGCACGGAGGAGATCCTCCAACCTAACTCCCCTGACTTAAAAAAAAAATATTAATCTTGCAGCTGCTAATAGAGAGCAAAAGGAGAGAGGGGGAAAGAGTGAGAGTTTTGTTACACTAAGCAGTGCAGGATGCAGGAGGAATTAGCTTGAGCAGTCCATTGCTCATATGCACTCGTATTTTCATGCCACCATAAACAGTCTTGGTAAGACTATTGTTCTAACAGGGTCCAGTAATAGTGTACTAGCATTTATGTAGTATGTACAAGTAGTAATGCAGTTGTGGCTGTGCTTTGCACCAGCGACATTGTGGCTCTGGGTAATAGTCACAATGGCAGCGTTATAACTGGGAAGACAACGGACATTTTTTTCGTGGGGAAGATTTTGTAATGTGGTAAGTATTGCAATGTAAGGAGTTGGAGCAGGTAAGGGTTTAATATCTTCAAGATTCTTCAAAATTCATCTGAGAATCACATGATTTTTGGTACTTCTAAGTGGGTTCACAGGAGCGGCTTTCCTGAAACCATTGAACAAGTTTGCTTTCTGACTAGGCACATTCAACAATATATGGAATTAAAAAAAAAAACCTTTTTCGAATCTTAGTGATTCAGGTTTTTCAAGCACAGATAATTTCTATGTTATGTGAATCAGTTGTTGCCAGCAATCAGCATTATTATAACCACTAAAATTCATACCATAGTGAGGCCAGGTGCTACACAAATTTAACTTTGTTTTACAAAAGGAAATTAAGGCACAAAAAAATCAGATTCATCTTAGCTAATTTTAGGTATGTAACAGAAGCGCTTAATTGTTGTCCTCATCTTCCCAGTTAGTCACTGGAGAAAGACATCAAAGGGCAAGTAAACCTGTCTTTTAAACCTGAATTGCCTCTCAGAGGTCTCTCTCTCTCCATTGATGAGTAAGGGAACGTAAAGCAATTATGATCTTAATTAGGTGTCTCTATTTTATCCCACCCTAACTTCAGGGATATATTCACACCAAAGTAACTAAATGACTGTCCAAGGCACACGAAGCAAAGCATGAGGCCAAAATCCCTAATAGTCCTGATCTATTGCTTGATTACAAATAACATTACTTCACATACATCCCTTTCAAGTCTGCTGTTAAATTACAAAGGCTTCACTCAGAGTTTTTTCAGCCTTCAGTGACATTGATATCAGGAAATACTTAGTTAAACTAACACCGAGGCAATTTCTATTTTTTTTTAAATATAAAATGTTCTTACCTTTATTACAGAATTCAGAAACTTCAGTCTGGATGAGCTGTGAATTTTCTACTGGTGACAGGCATCAATAAAAAGAACAGAAAGAAAAACAGTCAAACAACTATAAGAATAATTGCTTTGTAAGGTAACTATTATAAAATAAATGATCAGGAATTGTATCCACTGGGTTTTTACCTTGCTCATTTCTCGTAGGATAGGAAAATATAAAACCTGCACTGAAAATGATAACATTGAGGTTGTTAGTAATACTGAACTGGCAAGAAAAAGCTCTCGTAGAAGGTTTATATCTTTCAGCATAATGTCCGATATCACAAAAGGCAGTGATTTTTTTTTTTTTTCTCTGCTGGGTCAGCCAAAGCAGGGTGTACCTGTAATTGTCTGATGTCTGGACCTAGCAAAAAGATCTTTGAAACCTTGAAAACAGTGGAATACTTTTCTCAGAGTCTGATGAAAACTGCCTGTTATCCCTACCCCTAAATGCAACGTTATTAAAAAAAAAAAAAGATTGCAATGAAAGATTTCATGAAAGAAAGAGGATCCTCTCTGAAAATTAATATGGAGTAGAGCTGGTTGGCTTAAGGTTGATCAGTTAACCAGTTCAGTGGGGTGACAGTTAAGTTAACAGCAAACTAGGATAGGGTTCAGAAACTTAATTTCAATAGAGTAAAGTTACCATGTTACTTCTTGCTCTGGCCTCATTCTGCCATACAGAGAAGCTGGAGGGGCCTAAAGGTGCATTGAGGAAATCCTCCTAGAAGAAGCATCGGGGATGACAGGTAGAAAGGGGTCTTTAAAGGATCACTTCACAGGCTCTTGCGTAAGAGTGAAAGAAAAGAAGGAGGGGCTGCACCAGAAGGGACAGGAGAACGCATATTTCCTGCTGGGGCAAAACAGGTGACAGTCAGCCTCAGTGAGCTATGACGCCTCAGTTTAATACCCAAGGTTTTCTAAATTATTGATGGAGCTTTATATCAGGTGAAAACCAGGAGAGAAACGTGAGTTCTGTGCTCTGGCTCCATGAAGAGTGGGACAGAATTTCATGTCTCCTCAAATCTGGGACATCTGCTGAAAAGGCAACACCACATGATGTGTTGGATCCAACCAAAAGTGGTTGGATGGCTGGGTTCAGAGGCTAGTGGTTAATGGTGCGTACTCAACCCTGAGGCCAGGTCTACCTTGGCATATATCCTGTTTAGTATTTTTAACAATAACCTGGAAAAGAAGATGGAACGCGCCATCATCAGGCTTATGGATGAGACCAAACTGTGGTGTGCAGTCAATATGCTCAAGGGCGGAGCTGCCATGCAGAGGGAGCTAGATAGGCTAGAGGAGCGGACTGACAGAATCAACAAGGATAAATACAAAGTCCTGCTCCTGGGACAGTCTAACCCCTTGCAATGATTCTGGCTGGGGACCGACTAGCTGGATAACAGCTCTGCCAAAACTGACCCAAGGGTCCTGGTGACTAGCAGGCTAAACACGCATCAGCAGTAGAACCTGACAATGGCGACAGCTAACAGCATAGTGTACTATATCAACAGGATTGTAGCGAGTACATTGAGCAAAGTAAGTATAGAGGGGAAATGCTGAGCTCATGGAAATCAATGACGATTTGAAATTATCCAATATGGTAAGCATGACAATTGACTGTGAAGAACTACAGAAAGACCTTACAAGATTCTGTGACTGAGCAATAAAGTGGTATATGAAATCCGATGTAATAGCAATGCACATGGAAAAATGTCCTAGTTTTGCATATGAACTAATGGGCTCTGAGCAGAACATTATCATTCAGGAACGTTTGGGGTGCATTCCCAAGATTTTTCCATGAAAATTTGAGCTTAGAGGCAATCAGAAAATAAAATCCTATGTTAGGAATACTAAAAAATGGAGAACAAAACAGAGACTATCATTATGCCACTGTATAAGACTATGGCTCAGCCGCATCTTAAATACTGTTTGCAGTTCCGGTCTCTTTTTCTCAAAAATATATAGTGGAACTACAAAAGGTCCTGATAAGGGCAAAAGGGATAACTGAAAGCACAGAATAGTTTCTATATGAAGTAAGACTAAGCAGAAGTCTGGAAAAGAGACTTGAACTGGGGGAGATTTGACAGAGGTCTCCATAACCACGAGTGCCACAGAGAGGGAAAACAGAGACTGACTATTCACCATCATTTCTAATGATAATGAATATCATTTCTAAAGAAACAGAGGCATCAAAGAAGCAGTGGGAGCAATAGTCAGAATGAACAAAAGAAGGTATGATTGGAAATAGGTCTCTTCTTGCCAGAGAATCCTGGGGATGTTGTAGGTTTAGGTGGACTCAAATGAGACTAAACAATTTTATAGAAGAAAAATCTATTGAGGATTATATAAAATTCACACAGTATTTACACAGAAATTTCATCCAACTCGGAAAGTCTCTGAGCAGAAGGAAAATGAAAGCTGGGAGAGTAGTAAGGGGGATGAACACTTATTTGCTCTGTTCTTACTCTTGCCTGGGCACCCCTTACAGCCACTGCTAGTTGGGGAAGTAGCCCTTGATCAGACCCAGTATGGCCATTCTTATCTCCATGAAATTTCTGCCATTGTTATAGTGATATCTTCCTCTTGTACGTTGTTTAGTAAGAAGCCCTTTCTTTAGAAGAATATGGCTACTCATGTACATGCATATTTAATAACAAGTCATTTAAGGTTTTGAAGGAATGCAGCAAAATTTAGGGAGAAGTCGCTTCTGTTTGTTTGATCAAACAACTTGCAGGAAGGCGTTATCTTGTAATAGTGCACAAGGACTCTAACCAGTCAACAACCTAATCAATTAACAACCACAGTAGAGCCGATTGCTATGAATTATGTATCCCCTTATTTTCAGATCAGCTGTTTGTGAACATATTATTTCATCATTTGTAAAACACATTTTTCTGTCAATAATTGTGAAAGAATAAGTTGAGACTATTTGCCATTATTTAGCTAGTTCTGCCTTTCAGAAAGGACTAGGAACTCCGCACAGAACCTGAATTCAGAATAGTCCTTCCCAAAAAAGCCCCGAAACATCAACCCTTCCTACAATTCCCTAATAAGAACTACACATTTCCCTAATGGTTTAGCATTCAAGTTTTGAGAGGTACTATTGGAGTACGGGATAAAAAAGATAAGTGGACACTTTTATACCTTTACTAATTTGGTATTCCTTCATGGGGCTACATTTTTGGCTTATGTGCATATAAATCCACAAATCTAACTTTTAAAACTTGCCTGTGCACAAAATAAAACTTTCTCAAGGGCTTGTACAAGACCGTGGAACCAAATCTTAGAAAACCAGCTGAAGGACCTTTGCAAATATCACCATCTTGTACTTCCAAGGCAAGATGAATCTTGTCATCTTGATTTTCCAAGAAATAAATATATTACAACATGTATTACAAAACAACAGCAACCCAAACCTATCTGAAACCTACTCTGCATGCACTTTTCTAGGAAGAGGATGAGAGAGAAAATGGATCACAAATATTACTTACATTGTTTAAAACACGAACTGAAGTTGCTTAAATATCCCAGTACTGTGAACAGAATAAGACCTGAATAAAACAGAAAAGAAACAAGTAGATGGAGAGAGATAAAAGATCAAAAGGTTGTGTGAGATTAGATGTGGCAGGAAAAAGTATTTCCTGTTTTTTTGCAAAAATACTTATTTACCTACACACGTGTGTATAGATGTATATAGTACAGCCAAACAGTCATACACAGCAACCATCATTAAAATATTGACAATTATCTCATACGCTACCACACTTTACATGCGTTAAGTTCACATCCTACATTTATTTACATTACAGCTAAACTATGCATACAAAAAAAAAAACTTCTAAAAATTGTTAGCCTTAGGTTTTGGCTTTTTGTTTCCTTAAATACAGAAAGCTTCCTGCCCAAATCTGTGCTTGCCCTCAGTATTATATTTTAAAAAAAAACAAGTACCGCACATTGCAGATCATTCCTACCAGACTTGTTGCAATCTTTAGTTCTTTAATCTTGTGTCACAGCTGAAGGTTAGGTTGACCCATGTGATTCACAGTAAAATAAGTAGTGGGGGGAGGGGGAGCGAAGAAGATTCTTGTGATAAACCGTGTTTAATTCTATTTTGGAGAAAACAATCATCTCTCTCGGTAGGATGATAGCTGAAAACTGCAAAAGCTCACACAAATATACAGTACTGTATCACTCTCGGTTTAATAAAAACAATTTATATGCAGGGTAGCGAACATGAGGAAAGTTATGGAAAACATTTCTCACCCAAGGACAGAGTACCAGATGTGCTAAGACTTATGGGAGCAATCAAAGGTGGCCAAGGCTCTGCTGTGGGCCTTATTAAGTTAGACTGTGATCCAGCACCTTCAACTTATTAAGCTGTCGAGAGTTTCAGTGATTAAAACCAAAGAAAGGTCAGTCACAGACCTTCAGAATTTCCCTGGACTGGTATTTTCTTTTAGGCCTTAGACCCTAATGAAGACACTTCACTTGATACGTGGATTTTTTTAAATTGGTCTTTTGAGCTGGATTTGTCCATAGCTTGAGAAAATCTTCAATAGATTTTGCTTCCTCAGAACTCTGCATACAGATATCAAAAATCCTAACCAATAGCAAGAGATGAGGCCTTATAGGATGGCTTTGCATATCATCAGTACAGAGATCAAAGGAACAGGTTAATGGGGATCTGGAGAAGTCTAATTATGTCCTAGGTAAGGAATGAGGGTTAGTGGCTGTAGGTGGGGCTGTTATAAATAAGCTTTCAAAGCTCTGATAGCTGAAGTCTAATGTTTGTAAAAGGTATAATAAAACTGGTATTTCTTATGGATTTAAGGTTGCCAAAATCAACCTACTAGTCCTAAAAAAGCCACACAGCAGGAACAGACATAATGTTCTCCAGGCACACGTGATGTCTATTTTCTGAGCTGTTCTCACGTGGGTTAAAGGTTGTTGTTTCATCTACAGAGACACATATTACTGCTTTTAAATCCTTAATTATAATACTACCATGCAGTGTTGTTTAATTCAACCTCTTCATTTCTGGATATCTGACAGGGTGAAAAAGTTAGCAAGTTTGCAGAAGTCTCTTAATCATTTGTGTTCTTTTCTTTGATGCTACCTATATTGATTATAATGGCGTATTTAGGTTGGACTAGCACTTCTGTTACATATAAGTCCCTATTCCTCACAGACTTTTAAGGCAGCTACAGTAACGTACTCTGGTAACTTGGCATATAGTGACAGGCACTCAGAGGAGCCTGCCTTGTGTTTATTTTATAATATTAATGTATTAAAATCAGGTTGGCTGTTTTTGTGTTGTGAAAGATAAGGAAGGAAGCTTTTGTACCCTTTACAATCTAGTAAAAGAAAAATGCCATCCTGTTACAAAGCAAAACATGAGAATTCTAGTATGTCATGAATCATGTACCCTTTTGGTACCCTCTTTTTTGGCATTTTAAAATTGTGGGATATTAATTGTTCTGAGATAACTGGGACACCTTTGTAGTCTTTTTTTAATACAGCTATTTATGTAACATATAACAATAGTCGCTATTGCATAGTGGATCAATATGAAACTAAAAAGTAATTTACGTGATCGGATTTAACATTCCGTCCAAGAAACTGTGACGTTCTTAATCCCATTAATTAAAAAAAAAAAAGTGCATTTCCATCATCTCTAGATGATTCTGCTCTCATGTTATAATTCTGCTTTTTACTCAGTGAATTATAGCATCTTGATCACACGCATAAATGGTAGAGCAAGCCAGGCGCTGAACAGTGGCACTAGTGCTTTGAAGCCTGGCCAGCTAAAGGTTTGGCTGGAATCCCAACACCCCCCTGCATTTTGATCAAGTGAAAAATCACTCTTCTGAAGTCAACAGGAACCTTGCCTTTCACACACCTCTTAGTTGACTCATAACAGTCTTGAGGGTTGGGAGACAAACTCACAGAATTGCACAGACGTTCTCCTTTAGTGGAGGCAGTAAGAGGGAAACTGGAAGGGAAAGGAGAGAAGGTGTGATTGGGAGTAGTGGTGTGACTGGGAATAGTTGTAATGTTTGTTGTGAAGTGCAACACTGAGTAGTTGCTTCTGCCAAAGGAAGCCAAATATTTGAGGGGTGGGATCCGTCACATTGGGGTGATGAAGGAGGAAGCAGTGGTGTTATTCTTCCTGCCTATCTCTGTTTTACTACATGAAGCAGTTCTCTGCTGAATGAAGATTGATTTGCAGTTGCTGCAACTGACTGCATTTAGGACTGAAATCTCATCTACAATACCAGATTGTGTTCTGTTCTCTTTCATTCAGTTTTTCACTAACTTGGGCAAAATACATGAATAAATATTTCTGGTCTTTTCAAGCTAAGCTTCAGTCTTACTTTACAATGCATATACCTACGAGAAGGTGGGCACCCTACAGTACACAGTGGGAATAAGGAGACTAGATGGCTTTTCCCTCCACAGAATCTGAGGGGACAGTGTACCTTTACTGTCTACAGTCTTGACAGTCTCATTTAGTGTTTGGTCACAAAAATTCAGTAATTTTAAAAGCACCATTTAGCCCGTGCTGGAACTACAGGATAACCTGTCAAATTTGGCTAATTACCCAAAGGTTCACATCAGCGAAACTCAAAGGGCATGGCCACTGAAATTTGAATAGCTTCCTGGGACTGGAAAGACCTTGGTTCATGCCATTCTATATTAACCTAGTAGACCAGAACGACCCCTTTAGAACTGCTTGGCTGGATAAATGCAATGCACTGTAAAAGAATGAACAAATAAATATTTACAGTACCTACCTAGTAGGCTAGAGCAGGTTTTTTGGAACTATTCTACTATTTATCATATAAATTAAATATTTTTTTCAAAGCTGTATTAGGCTTCTTAATAAATAATTTTTACTATCTAGGAAGTCCTTTTTTTGAGTCCCTTTTTCTAGCATTTATTTTTAGGCAAATAAATACTAATCAGAATCTTCCTTTTCCCCCCCCTAAAGTAAGGTGTTCCTTGTGCAAAATAAGTGAATCTATTGTTTAAGAAAACCTACTCTTGTAGCTCAAAACCTTGAGCTTCTGAAACAGACCGACAGACACGCGAAAGTCAACATTAAGGCTGACATTCCATTTCAGTATTAAGTCATAACCTACTGATTTTTTAATATAACAGGAAACCTATTATTAACAGTTCTCACTCACCAGAAAATCCCACTGAGATCCTTTTGTGATAAGTAAATGAAGTTGATCTGAAATGTCATGGCAATGGCCTGAAGAAAGACTGGAGAAAGACACCATTGAGATATATAATAAACAAAAAAGGAGAGAATACTTTCCAGAAATACTAAAAAAGTTTCTCAAATAATCATGATAGACTTAGAGACAGCAGACTTAAGAGCCAGCAGAGAAAAGACAAAAGATCTCTGCTTGCGTGCATCTGCGGGCAAGCAGTTCTCTTGCCGTGGCTGATCTGGAACACTTTTTTCAGAGACTATCGCTTCATGGGCGATTGAGAGTAGCGTTACTAATGGGGTAACACATACAGAAAAAGTTCATCTTTCTCAACAACTTGGAAAATTCAACGTGAATTAGGTTTTACCCAAGGAAGGAGGTGGTCTACAGTGTACACAGCCTGTTGGGGAAAGACAAGATGACGAAGTTTAAAGAAAGTTGGTACCCTACATTTGAAATACTATTCTACCTCATTATAAAGGTAAGCTAATATATCCAACAATATAATGAAATCTATTTACAGAATGTTATGCATTGTTTACAAAAGGAGCTCCTGTCTTTTCAGTCCTGTCCGACAGATCAACTCCACTGCAGAATTATGTTGATTAAAACATAATTGGAATGCTACCAATTTTTTTCTATGCTGCCCCATAGTGTTTGCTTTGGGAAATGCAGCAAAAAGCCATATATCTGGCACTAACTTTCTTTTTTTTAAACCAGACACCTTCCTTGACACCCAAACACTTCAAGTGTTACGAGAAATATTAAAATGCAGATTCTTTTAGCTTTGAGCCAAGATCAAGCAGCCTTATATCAAATAGTAGCTTGTAATACAGGCTTACAAGGGGGTTAGAGTGCATATCGTTCATACTTTAATTAACTCAACTTCCAACTGTGAGTACATACAGGATATTTCCTTCAGAGGTACAGCTTTCCATTGAAGTCCATGCCTACCCAATTCTGTTAACTGCAGCCATGGTGTCATTTAAAGCAGCCATTTCTCTTTTTCTTTTAAATCTTGTGTTTAATGTAATTCCAACAATCCTAGGAAAGATCTACAACAGAAATTACAGATTATTATTGCTATTGAGCTGAGATGAAGCATGGGAGTTCTGTGTATTTACTACTTTTAATATTACAACAGATGCCTTAATAATTTGGAATTGTGTTCTGAAGCTTTACATAAGCAAAGAAAGAGGCAATAATTTTGGGGGTAGCAGAAGGAAAAGTTATCTCTAATCAACTGAAAGTTGTCACCTTCCCTTAAAAATAACATTTTTTTGAAGATAAACATCTGTGAATCACCTACTGCAAGTAGCCATATTTCTCATTTCCTATACTGCCTATATAGGAAATTCACTTTAGCACTAGGAAGTTACTTCTAAGTAGTTTTGAAACATGTTTAACTTATGGATAGAAACATCTGATATATCTCAACATCTCAATTAAATGCTCCCTCCAAAACCTCTGTCACAAAATATGTCATCATATAGACATCCCTATTCATTCAGAAATCCCTACTGAGCTGCAGGGATACAGCTTTGTCTGGTATGTTACGTCATTAGACCTTCATAATTAGTAATCCATTAAGTCTTCTAATAATTAGAAGACTTTTAAAGTCTTCTAATAATTAATAATTTCTAATAAAGAAAAAATATTTTACTATTTCCACTCATAGATGTAAGAATATAGTTTTACATATGAAAACATAAAGATTGAGTTTTTTTCTTTGAGGTATGCAGCTTCTTTTGCTTTCCTCAAATGCTGCTTTTCAAATATCCTGAACTGCCTGCTCCTTTTATAGACTGATGGATATTTGCCCCGTAAAAAGCAAGATGGAGGTCTCACATGTGCACATTGTGTATAAAGTTCATTTTTGCAATACCAGGTCTGCAAAAGACAAGAGAGCCATTCAGCAGCACAGTGAGATGGTGAGGGTCCACCTATGGCTGACTCAATGACTGTGGTCCTGTTTTACAATGGGGTGGGAATTCTGCAGCTCCCTCCCAAAGCCAGTCAATTTTCCACATCCACTGCTAGTGGGTTACTGCAGTAGGTGAAAAGCAGAATATCTGTTTGCTAGTGTATGTGCCCACAGTACTGAGGAAGCACTGTAGCAGAATGGCTAGAGAGCCTCTAGTGGAAAAAATCCTGGATGAAATCAGGACTGCATTAAGTTAATGTCGTAACTCCTATTAAGCTTTAACAGGAACAGAATTTTACCTTTATTGTCTACAGGCTCCTCTGTAATATACGCACAAGGATCAGAGTTTAGTCCAGGGTCTTGCGTAGTTTATGTGGAAGGAATGCAAAGATGCTATGTACTATGAACAAAGTGGGCAGGCTGGAATCTAGCCAAACGTATAAATTGCTCACACAAATGTTCTGATGGGGAGCTGGAAGAAGGAGGCGCAGTTTATCCCAAAGGAAGAGGTAACATATTGCATTTCCAATTCAGCACTTTAAAAGTACATTTACTGATATTGCATGCAGGTAGTGACTGCTTTTGCTAATGCTTACTTGTACAGTTAATTTACAAAGAGAGAGAATTGAAGCATTTCCTGTACACTTGCTGTTTGTAGCAAGGGATCTTTCGCTAGTCCAGTTAGATATTGCATTTATCACCACAGCAAATGGCTTGTATTTAAAAAAAAAGAAAAAAGAAAAAAGAAAAAAGGATGCAATTTCTCTTGGACGGAAGGCCATTCTGCAGTTTATTTATGTTCCATTCCATTTAGCATGCAGTGTGGGCATGGTGCCACACTGACTTTTAACCCTAATGGAGAAAACACACAAGTTGACTGTGGGCCTCTAGGGAATGTAGAGCTTTAATGGCAATTTGAGTGTAAAATCTGGTCTCTGGAAGAAAGGTCACCACATCTGCATAACCCCCTTGAGTCAGGCTTAGAGCCCTGTCTGCCTTCAACTAAAGAGGCATTTTCCCGTATCTTAAGGCTGCTTTAGTTTGAGGTACACGGAACACATGACAGAATCAGGGGAACTGAATGATGTTTGTGCATGTTTGACTGCACTCTGCATCCTAAGAGAAGACTTTCGAGAAACTCAATCAATACTACAACCATGTCCTGCACAGCAGCTACGTTGTTCCATTCTGTTACAATAATGAATTGAAGCCTCTCAACAGCAGCTATAATAAGCACTACTCAGCCCTTGATATTCAATCACCTTTAACTGGTTATATCTATCTAAATTCCACTGTTAACTACCAATTTACAATACCCCATTGGCAACCTTTTATGGTCCTCTGCACAAAAATGCAAAAACAACAGAACACCTTTTAATGCTATACATTCTATGATTTCCTTCCTATCCAAGTCAAACTATTTCCCTTTTCCATTGAAAGGCTAGCATAAGGCAATAGAGCACTTTTTTTTCCAGATAGAGGGTCTTTTACCCTTACTCACATCAGATGTTTGTGTCTGACCACGTTCTAATTTTTATATTATTTCATGCACTTTGGGTCTTCTACATCAATATTTTCTATTAAAAAAAAAAAAGCAAAGGAAATTCAGGAAGGAAGTATCAGGAACTAAGTACAAGGACCCTTTAGCAAAGGAACTATCTACTTTTGTATGACATTTTAATTTTAAGTTCTAATCACTAACCTTTTAAGTTCTGGGCAGCTTCCATGGTAAAGCTGGTGACATCACAAAAATGACTGTTAAACTGGGTAAGCTCTCAATTCTGTAGGACAGCTTTCACTTTGACAGTGGTGCTTTGGCTGCTACAGAATATACCCTCTACTTAGAAAGCCGTGGGGCTGGAAAAGAGAAGTGCTGATTATGAAAAGAAAAAGAACAAAGGAAAACAGAGGAGTGGCTCGAGCACAAGCTTCATTTCAAACATACTTTGACTACGGACTGGATTCAGGGCTCTGTGCTTTGGTTCAGTTTGGTGGGAAAAGGCTGTTAAAATCACAGCTGCTTTCTGAGCTGTGTGTCAAAACCATCTCCCTTTCCTCACACCCCAAGCAGCCTCCGCTCCCTCCACTCCCTGCCTTTCCCCTCCTTTCTCAGCCCGTGAGTTCCTCATTTTCCTTCCTGCCCCTCTCACTCAAATGCATCTTCTCCGTGCAGGCAGGATCCTAGCAGGCTCCCCTCCCTCCTGACCCTGATTCGGGAACTGACTGATATTCCTTTGACAAAACAAACTTGTCTGGATTCAAACACCCTGTGGTGTAGTTTAATTTCTTCCATGAGACAAAACAGAATTCTAGATGAAATTGTTGTATTTACCAGTATTTAAATGAATTTTGAGGCTCTAGCTGCCTTTTAGCATCAACTTCTAAAAAGGGGCTTCTCCTTATAACCCAGTCATTCTAATCTAGATCTGTCCATGCAGAAAGCTGAAATGATACTATAAAGAAAAAGAGAGCTTTCCTACTTTTGAGAGGGAAACTAAGAGAGAAATTTGTGCACTGACTTATAAAATCATCAAATAATTAGCAGAGCAAAGGATAAGAACAATACTGCCTTAATTTCCCATCTTTGCAAAATCCACAGGATCATTTCTCTCTTATCTTCCATTACTTAAATAATCAAAGTTCTCACAGCCTTCATTGTTCGGAGTATTAGAGGAGCAACACTACGACACTGAGAATTTCAGGGATTAGATTTCCTTTTAGAACTAGACGGTTCTATATAAAAAAAGGAAAAAAAAAAAAAGAGAGACAGAACTTCATGGCTAAAATGATCTGTTGTGTCAAGGATGGTAAAAACCAAACTTAGCTTTAACAATAAAAATAGTGTCACATCCAATTTCCCTTCCCACCTCCATTGAACTCTGAAGTGTTTTGAAGTAGTAGAGAGCTGCAGTGCAATACAATCTGCAGAATATCAGCAATATTTTCCAACATGTGGTAATGTTTTTCCACACACATAAAAGTGACCCAACCCTAACAAGGAACCAGACGGTTTCAAAACTAATGTTAACTTCGACAACTCCTATAGCTATTTTATATTATGTTGAACTCAAGATTACTAACTTTTCCCAGGACTTGAAAGGAGCACCATACTTGTCCTCATTCCAGCTGATAAGAATAAATGGCTATTACTAAAGCCAGCAACCATCCTGACAAATTGTGATTTTTAGCCACATGTTCAAAACACCTATATTCCTATGAATTAACACCTAAAAAAAAGCATGTGATTGATACAAATCCTCTTTTACGATATGTCATTTAAAAGGCTTTACTCCTTTTACTGTGGCTTATTAAATGCAGACATAAGGGTCCAGTTTCACTCTGACTAATGTCAATGGCAAATTCCAATTGATTTTGCTTAGGAACAGAATTAGGCCTTTCGTTGTCAAAGATTCCAACTGAAAGGCGACATTTGCATTGAATCCTTCTTCCCTGCAAACCATTCTGCTACAAATTACCATGGTTATTTCTAAAAGATGCATAGGCATCTCTTAAAAACTGTATTTTTGTCAATTTATTAGCCTTAATACTTAAAAATTAATAACATTTGTGGGAGGTATGCAGGACAAAACTGGAGTGTCAGAGAACTACTGCTTTATGCTGGCTCTGGAATCGATGCTTTTTTTGCTCGTTACTAATCTAAGACAAAATACATTCCATTTGATTAATTAATGATGGGAAGCACAAGGAAACCACGAAAAAATTTAAACTGTGCTTTGAAATGACAAATATTTGTCTTTTTGATATTCCTTAGTACCAGTATGAAATAGAATTTACTGAAGTTCAGCAGCTGTAGAAAAATGTTCCATGACTAGAACACAGAAATGATTTAATAAGTTCTATGAAAAGTCAATTTGCATGAGATCAGCACCTAGCCTATAACGGGTGGTAATGGATTGTTGGCTTGATTTTATACCACTTGACATCAGATTACAATACACTGAATAAATGTTAACCTATAATCCCTTTAGTAAAAGCTGGCATTGTTTGTCTTCTCTCGCAGAGACCACATTGATTTTCTTTTATTGGATGCTCAAGCATTGCACTTCAGATTGATTACTTTGAATTAAATGTGCAGAGAATATTTTTATTATTCTAAAACAGG